CTTCTGAAGGGTCATCCGGCAAGGTACCATCCGTCAAAAAGGACCGGATGGGATCCATCCAGGTAGCAGTTCTGTCCAATACTCCAATGGGATCATTTTGAATACTTCGTTTTTCAATGACTTCCCAAAAGACCGTCCTAGGAGCATCACCGGAGGCTGATGATGCCAACTTTGAGAGGGCATCCGCCTGATTGTTTTCAGACCGGGGCACCTGTCGCAGATGAAATTCATCGAAGGACCCAGCCTCCTTTTTGACCGTCTGCAAATATTTGATCATAGCCGGATGGGTGGCTTCGTAGTCACCAAGGTATTGGCTAACGATCAGCTGTGAATCTGAGCAGGCGTCGACCTTTCTTGCACCGGCTGCCTTACACATGCGCAATCCGGCTGGCAGGGCTTCATACTCTGCCTCATTGTTGGAGGCTTGGAACTTAAACCGTAGTGCATATTCAAACTTATCCCCTTCCGGGGAATGACAGATAACACCTGCACCACAGCCGTTCACCGTAGAGCTGCCGTCTACAAATAACTTCCAGACCTGATCAGGGTTTTCCGGGTGCACCGGCCTAGTCATCTCGACAATAAAGTCGGCAAACGCCTGACCTTTCACTGTCCGCCTGGGTTCAAAAGTTATCTCAAGGCCTTGTATTTCAACAGCCCACTTGATCATTCTACCGGATGACTCTATAGCAGTCATCGTACGCTTGAGCGGCTGATCTGTATATACCACAACCGGATGTGCCAAAAAATAAGGCTTCAACCGCTTGACTGCTACGAATAAGGCCAACCCAAATTTTTCGATCATGGGGTACCGGAGCTCAGCATTTTTTAAGACATGGCTGATGAAGTACACCGGCAGCTGAATGCCGTCTCTCTCAGCGAGGAGAACGGCACTGAGGGCGTGATCAGAGACGGCTAGGTACATGTACAGAACCTCCCGGGGTAGGGGGCTCACTAGCCTTGGCAAAGAATGCAAGTGCTGCTTAAGCCTCTGGAATGCCGCCTCTGCTTCTTCACCCCATTCAAACCTTGACCTCTTCCTGATTGCCTGAAAGAAATAGAGGCACTTGTCACCTGACCGGCTGAGGAACCTCCCCAATGCCGCCAGACAACCGGTCAACTTCTGGACCTCTTTTACAGTGCGGGGAGACTTCATGTCAATTACCGCCTGTATTTTTTCCGGATTAGCTTCGATGCCTCTTTGGTCAATCAAGAATCCGAGAAACTTCCCAGACTCAACACCAAATACGCATTTCTTTGGGTTAAGCATGACCCGGTGCCGCCTGAGTGTGGTGAAGGTTTCTCTCAGGTCTGCTAGGTGATCCGTCTGTAGCTTGGATTTGACTATCATGTCATCGATATACGCCTCTACATTCCTGCCAATCTGGTTGATAAAAACGGTGTTTATCATGCGCTGGAATGTAGCCGGTGCATTCTTCAACCCAAACGGCATCACCGTATAGCAGAATAACCCCTGATCAGTGACAAAAGCCGTCTTCTCCTGATCTTTCTTCCAGAGAGGTATTTGATGGAAGCCGGAATAAGCATCCATAAAGCTCATTAACGCATGGCCGGCTGTTGAGTCGACTAGGCTGTCAATCTTTGGAAGCGGGTAGCTATCTTTTGGGCATGCTTTGTTCAGATCTGTGTAATCCACACACATCCGCCAAGTACTGTTCGGCTTCTTTACTAGAACGACATTTGCCACCCAATCCGGGTAGTAGCATTGCCTAATGAACCCAGCATCCAACAGCTTTTTGACCTCAGCCGCTGCCGCTTGAGATCTTTCTCCACCATGATCCCTCTTTTTCTGCCTAACCGGCTGTTTTTTGGGATCTACGGCTAGCTTGTGGACAGCAAGATCCGGGCTGACGCCTGGCATCTCTTCCACTTCAAAGGCAAAGATGTCTTTGAATTCCTTCAGCAGCTGGAGCAAGCCTTCTCCCAACCGTTCGAAGGCTACCGTCCCGACCTTGACTGTTCTTTCAGGACGGCTGCCATCTAGGATGACATCAAGGCAGTCACCAGCCGGCTGAGGTCGTTGGTCATCTGACCTTTCCCCGGCTAGTGATTGCTATTTCTCCTTTTTGACGGGTGCCAGTTGGTCCGCCTTTCTTTTCATACCGGCTGCCCTTGGAGCCGGGACTGCTGGGTCGCAGTTATCAATATCTATGGGCTCGCCCTGGCCGGTTGCACCCATAGTTGTCTTGACGTCAGAGAGATAGCACTCTCTTGCCGTCTTCTGATCCCCGCTTAGGGCACCGACTGTACCATCATCCTTTTGAAATTTGACCAACATGAGGGACGGGATGATGACAGCCTTAGATGCGTTGAGGGTAGGACGACCAAATATCATGTTGTAGGCAGACAGCTCCTCCACAACTAAAAACTTGACTATCATGTGGCGTCCTTGCCCCTTTTCACCCAGCCGGATCGGAAGATCTATGCTTCCGACCGGATGCACTACTCCACCCCCAAAACCGACTAGTGGGTGAGGAGTCTGGTGCATGTTACCGGATGTGTACTTGAGCTTGGTCAAGCACTGATAACTGATTAGGTCAGACGAGCTCCCGGTGTCTATTAGGATCCGGCCAACCTTCTGGTTGGCAACCTTGCATTCGATGACGATGGGGTCATCATGAGGCCGCCTGACCTTGCCCCGGTCCTTTTCAGAAATAAGGACCTCAGGAAAGATGTCTTTCCACGCCTGGCCCTCATCCACTGAGTTGACCAGCTTCCTGATGTTGTCTTTGGTGCCCCGGATGGTAGGACCCCCTCCGGCAAAACCGCCTGCTATTGTGAAGATGGTCTCTTCATCCGTCTTGGAGTTTGCTGGGCCGGTTTTTGCCGCCTGCCCTTTCTTGGCCTGGGTATTACCCTTAGCCTTGGGTAGGTAGGATTTTAGGGCCCCCTCATCTGCCAGACGGTCCAATAGCCGCCTGAGGCTATAGCAGCCATTGGTGTCGTGGCCAACATCCTCGTGGTATTGGCAATACTTGCTCTTGTCCCGTTTATTCACGGGGCTTTTCATTTCAGCCGGTTTGTCGAGAGACATCCGGTCTTTGATTTCCAGGAGGATGGTGGAGCAATCTTTTGTGAACTCGTATTTGGGGACATATGGTTCTGACTTCCGCCTGATCTTCTGGGTCGGCTGTCCTGATCGGTCAGCTGCCCAGACCCCTTTTCTCTTTTCTTCCTTTCTTGCCGGCTGATGCTGTTGCCGGCTCTCTTTTTTATCAGACTTTTTAGAATCTGACGGCTGCTTAACAGCACAAAGTTCCGTCGCCTGTATATAGGCTTCAGCTTCAATTAATGCCTCTTGGAGGGTAGCAACCCTCTTCCGGACGAGGTCAAACTTGAAAGTCGACCCATCCTTCAGACCTCGAAAGAAGTCTGTATAGGCCACTTCGTCTGATAGTCCTGGAATCTGAATTCTCATCAGATTGAACCGTCTGACGTACGACCGGAGGCCCTCCCGGTCGCCCTGCTGTATTGCCCCTAGGTCGAGGCTAGTCTTTTTGGCAGGAATATTCATTGAGAAATTTGACGTAAACAAGTACGCCAAAGTTCGAAAGCTGTTGATGCAACCGGCTGGTAGGTTACCAAACCACCGCTGGGCTATGCCCTTGAGGGTAGCCGGGAAGCATCGACACCAGACGGCATCATCTAACCCCTGGAGGTACATGAGGTTAGAGTAGGCCATTAGATGGTCTTTTGGGTTGGTGGTGCCGTCATAGGCCCCCACCAAAACATTCTTGATCTTAGGCGGCTGTGCCGCCTGGGTTATCTCTGGTGAGAACGCCGTTGGCTGTTCCCCCAAATTTAGCAGGCGCAGCTGCCAGTCCGTGGGTTGGAACGGCTGCTGCGGTTGCCCACCGAAAAGACCCGGTGACATGAAAGGGGATCCACCCAACCCATTCGGTGTGCCGAATAGGCCAGGCTGGATCACTTTGGGTCCAGACCGGGTAGAAGCTTCGCCCGTCTGGCTCCCAAGGTTCGTTCCCGTACGCCTGTGTGAGACGTCATGGAAACTGTCCGGGAAGGTCGACGTTGAGGCCGACGCAGACGCCTGACCTCGCTTCTCTTGGAGAAATGTGCGGGCGTCTGAGAATGTTTTCTTGGAGCCATCCGGCTGTACGTGCCGGATGGCCTTTCGCAGCTCCCCTTGAGGAAAACGGAGTCTGCTTGGATCAAACCTTAAGCCCTCCCCCTCCTTTGGCTTGGGATGAGGGGTAGGAACTCGTTCTTTGACCGCCTTCTTTCCAGAAGGCTTCTTGGCCGGCTGACCCTTCTTTGGAGTAGCTGACCGGATGAGGTTCTTGATCTCACCCTTGAAACTATTCATGAAAGACATGAGTTCGTTTCTTGTAACGGGGGCTGAGCCCTCCACCGTTTGGGCAATTCCAGCCGGTTGCCCGGCTGGGTTGCTGGGAGCAGCTTGGCTGATTTCCCGTTCTCTTCTATCTTTAGCACGAGGGTGCTTCGTTCTGAAAGACCCATCCGGGGCCACATATGTTTCAATTTCGTCGCCACTTTCATGGTCCGTCTGGACCTCAGGCTCGACCACAGGCCGTTTGCCCTGATTCGGTGACACAGTATCAGAAGTCATCTTAGAAGTACTCTCCCCACAGACGGCGCCAAATGTTTCAGGGTTTTTTGATGTGTCCTGCGGGAGAGTTACAATTCCAAGAATGCCCTTCGACGCCTGTGCCTGCAAAATCACGAAGACTCCTGGGGGTAGGAGCTCCGCCTCCGACGATCAAGTTAGTAAAGATACGGGAGGTAGAATGCACGTAATGTAGAAGTTACTTCTCGCGTAATGGGAGAATTCTGCAATTAATATTGCTCGGGGTAAGTGTTTTTCTTTTTGAGGAGTATTCAATGTGAACAACAAATGTTCCAGCCCCCCATTAATGAGGGTCCTTCCACTATTTATAGTGGGGAAGGGATGGTTTCCCTTTTAGGGTTTAGAGGACACGTGTCAGCAGAGGATTGGAGCCCTGCCGACCAATGGCTGGATGCCACGTGTCACTAGGCCATTGGGCCACGTGTTTAGGGTATTTTTACCCCAAACACAGCACATTATCACAAATCGTATGAGAGAATCTTCACTTGTTCGTCGCATAATTTCCCTAGAGATTCAACAACTATTCTATAGAGATTTTTTTCGCTTTTATGCGCAGTATATAAATGATCTTATAGAGAATTCTTTGCATTTATGCATGGTATAGCAAATTATTTGAATTGTGTTTTCCAGAAAAGATGCATATATCATTTGCATTGCATTACCGATTGATTGAGTCTTGTACCTTTCCTGACCCTGTATTTTGACTTCATTAGCTTGTCGTGTAGACAATTAAGGGCGGAACACATGCTTTTTGAGCTGATATTAGTGTGGGATACTTTTTACGTAGTAGAAATTATCTCGTGTTGTAGCTGATGGTAAACATTTTGCAAACGCCTAACATAACATTTCCAGAATGTTGGCTATAATATGTGACACTTTGGTTGGTAAAGATCGTTATAATAGTAATAATTAAGTAGATGATGTGGGATTTCCATCTCTCTTTCATGATTCGGGCAATTTGAACCTCGGATGGTTGTTATTTAATGTGCTGATTAGTGCATTATTGGCTATCTTAACTATTGTGAAGTGGAAATGTGGAATGGACAACTCCAATTACGGAGCTAAGCAAATATATTAAAGAAAAGTTTGCAAATTGCAGCCATTTAATTTTTTTTTTTCCAAATTGCAGCCTAAAAGTTCGTAAAAATTGTAAATTGCAACCCAATTCAACTTTTACATTAATTTACATGTCGAAAAATCTTCGATTAAGGTTTTAGGGACCATTTTAGTTTTTGATAGATTAAATTAAACTCGAAATTAGCAAAAAAAAAATAACACAAGTGCATGGTACTCCTGGAGTTTTATAAAACTGGAGTACCGTGTAGAGTCTTATGCTAGAAATTACGGTCAAAATACAATTGTTTGCGTATTAGGGAAGCTTATATACCGGCTCCTCTTATAGTCTCGTTTTCATTTTTCCCTCCAAAATTGTTTGGCCATTTTTGTTCATCTTCCTTTTCATAAATTTCCCAAATTTCAGAGATGAACTGGGAATAAACAGTGATCCTCTATTCCTGATTTTTCTTATTTAAATTTCTTACATTTTTTGATTAATTTTTACTTTCACTTCACAAACATTACTTTTTCTTCAATAATTTTTTAGATTAGGTTTTCTGTAATTCAATAATCAAATGAATTCCAACAAGAAGAGAATCAATTTCAGAGGCGATGTCAATTTTTCAAGCAAAAAGAAGAAGATTTCTGCTGTTTGGATTGACCTAATTCAATTAGGTCACAAAATTGATGATAGTATTTCTGGGGGTTTCGAGTCTCTCTCCTCAATGCTCGAACCCGATAAGCCTTACACAATTGGGCGGAGTAATCGGGTCGCCCATTTCATATTCAATGATTCCCGTGTAAGTAAGCAACATTGTCAGATTTTATTTGATTCTTTGGTTAAGAAATTGTACCTCTTTAATGGTGTTTTTTCTTCTTCTACTTGTAATTGTAGCAATAATGATAAATTTTGTATTGTTAACCAATTTAGGGATAGATTAATTGTTAAGGATAATAATATAATGGAGCAAAAAGAATTTTCTTTTTGTAATTGTATATATAGTTTTAAGGCTTCTTTGAATGGAGTGTTTGTTAATGGTGTTAAGATTAATGAGGGTGTGGCTGTGGAGTTGTGTGTTGGAGATGAGGTTATGCTTGTTTGTGGAAACACAATTGGTGTTTGTGGTGGCTTGAATTCTTGGATTGGGTTTATGGTTCGGAGCATTGTTTTTCAAGAGGAGCTTGTGACACCGGGTTTTAATGAATTTCGGGTTGAGAGGCCGAGGTTAAGTAGACCCTTGTTGCCGGGTAAGGTGAACAAGAGGGTTTTTGCCACCTTGAGAGTGAGAGATTTGAAGTCCTTGAGTTTTGAGTGTGATGAAGTTGTCAGACGAGCAAAGACTCTTTCTGCTTGTTGCAATCAAATTGTACATAGTGATGATCCTGTATCTTATATTAGACGATGTATAGATTCCTGCTATTCTGTTGGCGGGTCATTTGATTGCGTCATTGAGGGCAATAGATTCAAAGGCATTGAGCCAAATAATAATATCAAAACCATGACAAGGAGTGTTTCGAATGTGGTAGTTGGGAAGCAACATCCTGTTGAGACTCTTGTTGTGAAGGACATTAGAGGTTTGAGGGATACAATGAAACAGTCAACTTTAGATACTACAGTTTTGAGCGAGAATTTAGTATCGTCGGTGTTAAAAGCTCACACTTCATATCCAAACATGTGTACTGGTAATACTGATAATTCTTCAGAACCTATCTGCATAAATGGGAGAAATTCTCCTCTTTGTGAAGCTATGAGGAAGACTGAATGCCATGAGAAGATTCCTTCACCACCCGGGAAGAATTTTTACTTAAATGACCTTAATTGCGTGCATCAGGGTTCATCTAGACAAAATAAAGTTGTTTCCTTACCAGAAATCCTGCACCCTGTTGATAGCATACTGAGAATGTTTATTGCAACCTTTACAAGTGATATTGAATGGTAAAGTGTCTTGCTCTTCTTTTTCTGTGGAGCTAGTCTTCTCTCTTTGTCATAGCTGTATATTGTGATTTACTAATTACTAGTCTAATATTACATTAATGGCAGGTTTTTGTCATATTGTGATATTCCTTCACATCTGCCAGTTACGGTGGCATGCCATAATACTGAGAAATGCTGGAGCGGGGACCCCAGTGAGAGATCTTGTGCGCCATACCCTAACTTCCCCAATCTAGTTGTAGTGTGAGTTGACCTCCTTCAAAATTTTTTTCTAACAAGTGTTACGAGAATATTTGTTAATAGCCTGAAGTGCTTGCTTTATGTTGTACATTTGTCAACGTACTTTATTGGCTCTTTGTTGTGATAGTTACCCTCCTTTTCCTGAAGTAATAGCCTTTGGTAAGGATCGGAAGAATCGGGGCGTTGGTTGTCATCATCCAAAGTTGCTGGTTTTGCAAAGAGAGGATAGTATGCGTGTCATAATTACGTCTGCCAATCTGGTTGCTAAGCAGGTAATCACTAAGTTTATATATAATTTTGTTTTCCTTTTAGAAGCCATTGCATATTAAACAACCCCTTGGGATTTGACTTCATAATCAAATAGTATACACTGGTTAAGGCTAACTAACCTCAAGACTTTTTTCATTTCAGTAGGAAACAACACTTAAGATAATTATAACAAGATCAGAGCTTGTTTCATTGTATAATATGTTTACCAATTTTGCTGATGTCCTACCTAGCACTTGAAGTCTATAAGTTCTATGTTAATATCAGTCTACTCAGGACAGCTTTTCAGATTTTTGACACCTGCAGCCTGCACACACCACTATGCAAGAAACTTCAATTGTTGTGCAAAAATCTGGTTCCAATTTAAATTGTAAAGCAATTGATGATTACAGATTGAATTCTGCTACCCTGTCAGCTCTTTCTTCTGTAATTCTTTGTCAGTTTTTCCCACCTACTACATACTTACTCCATTTTTTAATACTTTCAACACTTCCGTAAAATGACAATGTCACAATACTTGCAACACACTATAATTGGAAAGTTATTTTAGGGGAAAGGTGTACTCTTTCCCTTCTTTAAAGCTCATGGCCCACTATATTAACGCCTAACAACCTCTCATCCCATTTCAAAGTGTATTAAATCATGTAAATCCCACTTTTCTTAAATACCGTGAATAAGTGTGTGTTGCAACTATCAAAAAATGGAGGAAGTATGTGGTTAGCTTAATTTATAAATTTTTTTATGCTCTTGTATTTGCAATCTCATTTAATACCTTTTTCTTTTTGAATCTGCAGTGGCAGAGTGTAACCAACACCATTTGGTGGCAAGACTTCCCACACAAAAAATCCCCTGAATGCACATCCCTTTTCAATCGGCTTAACCGAAGTACGGATAATGATCTGAGCTCCGATTTTTCTGCTCAGTTGGCAGGATTCATGGCAACTCTTGTAAATGATGTTCCTAGTGAAGCCCACTGGATTGTTGAGTTGACCAAGTATGACTTTTCTGGGGCTAACGGCTATCTAGTTGCTTCAGTTCCCGGAATTCATTCTTATAAATCCCTGTCTGCAGCTTCACCAGTAAGTTCATCTCAAACTACAATATGTGTCCACACAGTTTCTACTTATGAGGTTTGATGTTTGTGTTCACTGTCAGTCTGTTACTATTACCCAATGAGTCAATGACCATTTGACTGATTTTATGTAGTCAAGATGCATCAATGATAAGATGTAGACTTTCTACATTTTGATTAGTTAATTTTATATTGATTCAATATATTAATAGTCAGATTCTACTCATAGTCCCTCCATACTACATACTACCTTATCTTATTCATATTGTATTGCTGGAGAATGATTCCAATTTTGTCTTGATCAATGATTTGTAATGAAATATTTGGAACCAGGCTTGATGCTTTGATGAGTATACGATCAGGCTTCATGTTGGATCCCTTTTCAGCTTTTCTAATTTATTCACGTATCTGGTTTGTGCTTTAAAGACAGTCTGATTTGGTTTTTCTCTTGTGGCAGTACTGTAAATTTAAATGCAGTGAAATGTTGCTTGGCTCTGTTGAAGCTTCTGTTGTTGGTTTAAGTCATCTTTTCCGGACAGCAGTTGACACAAATGGTATACAGCTTAGGAAACTGGCTTCTTATCTTGACAATTCTACTGTATGTGGGGTGTCAGAGATTCTACTAAGAAGAGAAAAAAATGTACCTGCGGATCCCAATGCCGTGAGTGTTGTTGTTCCTAACTCCACGGAGCTATCTAAAGGAGGTTAGATACATACTTTTAAATCTAATATTGTGAGTGCACTCATGTATGTGAAGTTCTATGTCTCTGCTTGGCTCCATTGAGTTCAATAGATGTTAAGTATCTGCATGATTGGGTTCCTCTTAATATGGTCAATATGTTTGATTAATATCTCTTTCCAGTTTTGTTTGAGCAAGAGTTTGGATGATAATATATTATCTGGAAATCTGGAACAAAGTTTATGTATTAATAGTACGCTGTTTCAAGGACGGTGTTATTGCTTATTTCATTAGGTTATTAACATATGTTGTTGTTGTCTAATGAATTCTCTTCTTGTTTCTTTCCCTAGATTGTGTACAACTCGGATTCCTTCCCCGAGCAGTGGCAAAGTGGGTTTCCCCATTATGGGATTCTGGATTTTTTAGATTTTGTGGACATTTGTGTTCCAGGGAAGCTCTTGCAGCTGCTTTTGGAGAAAACAGCCTAAAAGTGCAACTGATTCTTCATGTATCTCAGGCATGGTATTTTAATGTTAATAAAAAATCTTTTGGTTATATTTGCATGTATAGCTTTGGACTGGTCATTTAAAACGTATTGACTCCTACAGGGACCCAACTTTTTAGACTTGCCAAAGACAGTGAATCCTGAACATGCTGTTGCATTTTGTTCTCTTGTTGCCTCCCTTCAGAGATGTACTGGACTGAGGCGATTGGAAGAGGTAATATTTTAAAGAATTTGAATGAAAAACTGTGCTTTCCTTGTGCTTAATGTTGCTGCTAATGGATTTTGTTATTTTCTCGTACCTTTGTTGACTAAGATGCTGCCCATTTCAGGTGCTACATCGATATAAGTGGCCTGAACCTTTGGAATCTGATTTCATTTACGGTAAGCTTTGAGAATTTCCTTAGAACTTTGCATGAATGATTGTAAGAATCAAAATTTATTGTGAATTTTAAAAGTATTCTGTTATTTATTTATTTTGTTGGCGACTCCTATATACTTTTCAGGTTCTTCGTCTATAGGAACCTCAGTCAGTGCACAGTTTCTAGCAGCATTTTCCGCAGCTGCTGGTAAGAGATCCCAAAATTTGTATGACTCAGAAGAATCTGATCCAGAGGTGAAATATCTTTTCTATTTTGGACTTGGTAGTTCAATTGAAATGCTGCTTTATACACTTAGCTGTTGGAAGTGAAAGGCCTCTTTTGGTTTTTAAGCCACCTCCCCATTTAAGCTGTTCAGTCCAATGTTAGCACTTTAAGAATAATGTGTGTATAGTTATAGTATCAAACTAGCAATCTCTACTGTTTTTTTAATCCTTGTTCATATCTTAGCTTTGTTATGATAACCTTGGCAGTGGGGTCGTTGGAATACTACCCATGAATTGAAGAACCCATCCATACGAGTAATTTTCCCAACCATTGACAGAGTGAAGAGTGCACACTGCGGAATACTACCTTCAAAACACCTCCTTAGCTTTTCAGAGGTATGAAACATGCGACTTTTCTTCTGTTTTTTTCTTCATTAACGTGTATTGGATTTTGATTAAGCATGTTTGAAGTAACTACAAAACCTGACTAGGCATTTCCAATTATTAGTTTATTGCAAGTGGGTCAATACACTCAATCAAAGCTTTAATCCCATAAGTGGGGCCAGCTACATGAACCAAAAGTGATTATTCCGTGTAGTCATTGACAAAAATCTTCCTCCTCCATCCCTTGCGAACTAGAGTGCTTTTGTTTCAGTACACGCCAAATTTGGTTTGGTAAAAACCAGAGTGCTTTGTTTCAGTGATTAAAGAAACACTAGGGTTTGAAACTATTTCATATTATCATCGAAAGTGCATAGCTTATTTTCTTCTTGTCATCATCAAGTCTGTAAAGTCTGAGCTGCTTGTGAATTCATATAAATTTCGTATGATCCCTTGTTCCTTTCTGACTTTTGCCCAAATAGAAAAATAAGAAATAATATGGATTTGCCTTTTGTTTTTCTTATATGTATTTTTTTCTCATTAGAATGTTCATGTGATATAGAGTTAAGGAGTTTTTTTCTTGCTCCACTCACAACATCAAAAAGGATGCTATATACCAAGGTTTTCGTATAATGGGGCTTTTCAAATTTCATTTTGTCCAGAAAACATGGCAAAGATTGAAGACGGTGAACATACTCCATGATGCCATTCCTCAACCCGGTGAAAGAGTTGGGTATCCTATGCATGTCAAGGTAAAAACACTTTCTCATTAGTCTGTTAATAGTAGCTTGAGCATGAACCTTAGTGAAGAGAGACAGAATATAAGAAAGAAAAATGCTATAAATAGAAGGAAAATAAGGGAAGAGAGGGCATCCAGAGACCAGAATACTGAACCATTATTTAATTTTGATTCCCCATTTGGTCAGTGTTGTTTTCATTCTTATTTTGGAAATGACTCTGTACAGCATCCTTAATTCCTTTTATATGCCGGTCAAAATATATCTGCCTTCACCATTTTATTTTGGAAATGACTCTGTACAGCACCCTCCCCCCTTTTTTTATTCCCATCTTCCGTGTAAAAAGAAGTCAGGAGTAGCTGTGAATGGACAAAGTAATGGTCAGTTTGAACAGCCTCAATTTACAACTAACAGAACTCTATGGAACTAGAGTTATTTGATTTGGTGTAGTGAGGGAGGATTGGTCAGATAAGGATGGATGCTCAGTGGTGATTGACTCTGGAATCTGGAGGCTAGAACAGTTAGACACCAAAGTAAGGTGGGCAGCATGAACATATTAATGCTGGAGATATAAGAATTTTAGGGGCAGGGGTAGAGTATACTTTAACTGGGATTGAGGGCAGTGATAGATTAGGATGAGAAGAGAGTACAAATGATGCTGTTTGGCTGTTCATACCGTTGTTGTTGCTCTTGGAGGAGGAATTTAACAGGGGGCTTCCTTTTGGATTGTCAATGTAAAAAATTTCTATATGCCATAGTTTGTTTATTGGTTGCAAGAGAGAACAAGTCCCTCCTATGCCTAGCTCTGTCTTGAATTTGATGTATGCCAAGGCTCTAATTTTTAGTGATCAGACTGGAACATACCACAACATCACATTAAGATGTAATGTCTTTGTAGTACCTGAAAAAATCATTAAAGACTTTCTAATCTGACGCCCCTTAATGCGGACTGAAAATGGTTTAAATGTAACACTAGTAATTTTGCAAGCAGGTAGCGAGGAGGCGATTCAAATCAAAAAAAGATGGATCTTCATTTGGCTGGATTTATTGTGGGTCACATAACATGAGTGCTGCTGCTTGGGGACGACCAATTTCAAGCCCGTCTAGCAACTTAGTAAGTGGAAGAAGTGAAGAACAATCTTCAGTTTCTAGTCTTCATGTTTGCAACTATGAACTTGGTATCATATTTGTCTTTCCTCCACCAAAGATTAAGGTCACTAGTCAAGATAACGCCCCAAATTTGGATGATATTTGTTTGCCTTTTGTGGAACCTGCCCCAAGATATGGGCCAAGGGATAGGCCGGCAACGAAGCGTGCAATGAGTGAGGCCTTAACCGAACTTGCCAAGGAGGGAAGAGCAATTGACCTTACTGCTGTAGAAGACGTGGTAGAAGAGGTTCCCAATGAAGACGATGAAGTTGCAACAGTGAATTGTCTGGTACCAGAGGTAGAAGAGGACATAGCCTATGCTGAATTTTTGTGGCACCAGTTGGACTCATCTCAGAGTTGTTAAAGTTTATTTTGATTGGCCTCAAGAAAGTCGTCACAAAATATACTTCAGTCTATAAAGTGATTAGTTTTGTACTACCTCCATTTCATATTAGTTACAACTTTGGAATATTAGTTTTGTACTTCCTTCGTTTCGTATTAGTTACAACTTTGGAATATTTTATATCTCACCAATAAATACCCAAAGTTGCAAGTAATACGAAATGGAGATAGTATATTTAATTATGAAGGAAGTTACATGTCCTCCAACCTCACTTAGAAAGAATGTAGAGGACGTATCAACTTATGTACGGAATATACATAATTGTTAATTTATGATACTAATATACACACTGATTGACGTCTACAACGAGCCTATCATACTTGGTTGATGTGAAGGTAGTGTTTTTTACACATACATTCTTCACTAAACATATGTAAATAATGTCCCCCGTAATCATCTAGCATCATTGTCCGCTAATATTCTTAATTTCTTACTCATAGAGGTTTCAACGAATTTCAGTGAAATTTGGTTTGATTGATTTGACTATACTTTAATATCCATGTTCATATTAGGTTAAATTGATTGCATATTCGTTTGTTTGTTTACAAAGAAGAGAGATGGATGGTGATGAGACAGCATCAGGGGCATGGGAAGGCAGGGTTGAACCGTTGTTGAGTTGTATGAATGAGATTGATCATCTGTATCGAATGTCTGGCGAAGTTGCTTTGAATGATCTCAAGGGTAAACGATACCTTCTCTTTGTTTGCTTATACTTTCATTCCCAATCCAACATCGAATTCGAATTCGAATTCTTCTATCCCCGAGATTTCATTCCTGCGTGTCATGATCTCTATTCTTATATATAAATAAAGTAGGCATTTTTGGATTAATAATTTGTTTTAGAATTAAAAAATTCACTCGCCACCTAAGAAAAAGTGACGAATAAGATTTAAGAATTTTGCCACCTAGGTAAAAATAACGAATAGTGAACAATTAAAATTTAAATTATTTAAAAAACTAATAATTATCTTTTTTTACATATATGGATGTAAATCTTTGATCGTAAATATCTTTAATCTCCCTAGCAAATATTATAAAAATTAGATATTAATAATGTACTCATCGAAACGAATAAAACTAAATCTCATATCACTATGTTTTTCCTTACATATAGAGAGAAATTTAGAAGATTCCCCTAATTTTTTTAATAGTTAAAAGATTCTAGATGAGACTAATATTTTTGAAACATAACAAGTATATAAAAAAACGCATTTGCAAAGGACTTATTTTAACCAATAAATAAAATGATTTGCCATATATTTTTTAAAAAAATTAAATTGTCACTTAAGCAAAATTAAAGAATGAGGTTTGAGATTTTAAATTCAAGCGCCACGTAAAATAAATAAACCTACGAAAGATAACTTTAGTTTTAAAATTAAAAAAAAAAAAAAGAAAATTTATCTTATGATATTAGTAATTTTATCCAAATATCCAATGAATGATCTTCATATAAAAAAAAATTTAAATTAATAAAAAGATATACTAGAACCTTATATCTAGTATTCCGTGTATTGTAGGTTAATCACACAAGGTAGTCGGTTTTTCATGAGTCGTCGTCCCCTTTCTTTCTCAAGGAGAAAATATTGTTAATATGCGATATTAACAAGCCGCGTTAATATGAGGTTAAAACGGTCATTTCCAGTCTTTCAGTTTGGGTACAGTTGGAATGTAATGTAACTCACGTTAACTCACGTTAACTCCAGACATAACGAGTTTCTTTTGTTTAAAATGACGAGTCCGTTTTGTCCGCCATCTCCCCGTTCGAATTTGAACATTAAGTGAATCCTGGGAGTTAGAGGTGGAGACCTGGACTTGAATTCCGAAATTGTTTGTGGAGAATTTCCTGGCGATTTCAACCAGTCGGTGTTCGATTGCGGTGGTGAATTGTGAATTGAACTTCTTTCACGGGGTGAAGATTGGTTGAATTGATGGTTACTGGTTGAAGTCAAGCTCCCAGCATTACTGGTATGTGTTATCAATGCTAATTATCATGAAATTTTGTGCTTAGTATAATCAGATTATTAGGTTTGAATCAACTCCGGTAATTATTAATTGTAATTTCAAGCATGATTTGTGTTTTTGATTGAGGGACTTGGATTATCTGACTTGAAATTGCGCACACCCTAGATTTACATATTAATATACCTCGATTATTACCAAATTGAATTTGTGTATATACCAGTTAGTCTATGATGTATGTGTAAAGGAATTAGGAATATTGAGTTGTTGGTGATTGTGCTCAGCTAATTTCTGTTGCCGGTTTCAGCTTATTTCTGTTCTGTTGCTAGTAATTGTAATCAATGGGAAGCAGTAGCAGGAAGCGTTGTGTATATACCAATTAGTCTATCATGTATGTGTAAAGGGATTAGGAATATTGAGTTGCTGGTTATTGTGCTGAGCTAATTTCTTTTGCTGGTTTCAGCTTATTTCTGTTCTGTTGCTAGTAATTGTAATCAATGGGAAGCAGTAGCAGGAAGTGTAAAGTCAACATCAATCGAACTGAGTCTGAGGTAGTAGGATTTTGTTAAAATTAACAATTAATGGTCAAAAGTACTGTTCTTACTCCTTCTGCATTTCTTTACTATAGGAGTTAATTGGACCTCACATCAAGAAGCTATCTCCTGCTATATTTAAGGTAAACTTAAACTTATTGTGTGGGTTAATTGTAATTGCATAAAGTGATTTGGCCTTAAGTTTGTGCATTAACTTGTAGGATGATTCCTTAACTGTTGGAGGGGAAGTCAAAAGCAAAGGTGAAGTGTTGTTGCAGCATTTACAGAATAGATGTAGGGTAAGTGCTTTTTTTTATTATGTTTTTGTGTCGATAATGTTTTAGGCGTAGTTAGTTGCCATTTATTTGGTGCAGTAGTTAGTTGCCAAATAGCTTCCAATTCAGTATAGATTATATTGATATTCGATGTTTTATCTATGCAGCCGGCTAATACGAGTTGTCGGATCGAGTCGTTTGGTATAATATGCAATAGTTTTGACGATAGACGTAAGCGGTGGGTGAGGGAGATGGGCTTTGGTGGGTTGTTAGAAATTGGAGGTAATATGAACCTTCCAAGACAGTTGGCTTACTGGTTGATGACTCGTGTAGATCCCTTCAATTGTACTCTTACTGCCCAAGATGGCAGAGTGTACAGGCTTTCTCAAAACCAGGTTCATTGGGTCCTTGGTATTCCTAATGGAGGGTTACCTGTTCCCACATACCAAACAATAGACAATGTTGCACTTCAAAAGGTGAATAGGATTATGGATAGATATGGTAAAATATGGAGTAGTAAGTGCAGTAGAACTGGTCGTGAGTATATATTTGAGGGTATTCAAGTGAATGCTGATCTGATTGCTAGTGTGGAGGGGGAATGGGAGGAAGATCAGGCTGAGGAGTTCAAGACTGTTTTCTTGTTGTTGTCTCTGGAAATGTTGTTATGCCCTAATAAATCTTCAAGATTGGCCTCTGATCTTGTACCTTTACTAACATGTGCTGCAAGAGCTGCTGACTATGACTGGTGCAGCCTAGTTTTACAAAAACTCATGTGCAGTGTGGCGATGTTTGCACGCCGTTTTTATTCTGTTAGATTTGCAAGTGGCTGTGCCGGTTGCCTCATATTCATGGTGGTATGTGTGTATTTTCACCATTTGTTTGATACAATGTTGTCACCATTTGTTACCATTTAACCACCTATGATGGTTGATACAGGTTTTGTATTTGGATCGTCTTAATAGACATCCTGTTCATTGGGGCTATTTCCCTAGGTTGGAGGTGTGGAACATGGAAGAGATTCGGTTGGCTATAAGTGAAGATCGTATCCCGAATGGGGGTGACTTTGGGCAGCTTGGGGTATGTTTTTGACTTAGAACACAGCTATTTTGGTATTTCCATTGTATATGATAATTTTTTTGTGTTGTATCATGTAGACTTTGGATGTGGCTTATGGTGAAACTCATCCAACTGAAGCTAGGGTTTCGAATGGACCTGGGGGGTCAACTGAGGTTACTTTTGAACTGAGTTTTATTTTTTATGTTGTTTTAAAATTTTGTATTTTTGATGAATATTCATAGTTTTAATTGTACAGAGAAGCTGTTGTGTCAGTGTCTGTTTTAGGAGTAAGACAACACGAATGCGGAAACCAAAACTTAAGAAAGTTTACGGTAAACCAACTGCTGATATGAGTGGGAAGGTACACTGTGCTGATAAAAAGGCAATTATTGTATCTGGTAACAACAATATAGGTGCATTTTCAAATTTTGACATGATACGATTGCGCATGGATGTCATGAAAAGTTATATGATGTTGTTGTGTAATTGTTAATAATTTTATGCTCTTTTGCAATTTATAAGGAGACTGAAGTGTTGGTTGGTAATAGGTGCTTATCGGAAGATGCTTTCAACACACTGCTACGATTAACATTATTGGTTAGTATATGAATGTACGATTTACTTGTGTTGTACTACATGTAAGGTGACTTAAATTTTAGCTCATGCTACAACAGGTCGGTAGGTGGAATCATGGTAGGCAATTTCCTACTGCACCAGGTCCTTGCTTCTGGTCGTCATTGTTGGTTAGTTGTTAAATCTTTATATGGGCCTTTTGGCAATGATTGTATAATGCTCTTTTGTTAAAGGTTAATAGACGATCAATGTAAATGGGCCTTAGTAGTTGTTATTGATTGTATATGCATCCCAGGGAGAGTTCGTGTTGTTTCCTGGCACAATTGGGGCAGATCCCATGTCTAGAGAGTGCGTAGACTGCTTTGTGGCTAGTCCATGTTGTGCTTACATGGCTATTGTATCGGAGGTGAATGTTACTGCATTTATGCTCTTTATTTTCTAAGTGATAAAATATTAAATTTTGTTTACAAAGTACGTGTACGTGAATCGGTTGAAGGAGCTACAGGTCCCGGCTATCCAGCTTCTTTTTCCGTTTGTGTATTTGTAAAATACGGTAATGTACAAGATATGACTCTGATATACACAAACTCACTGACTTCCTCATCAACTTTACACAAGGTGAACAAGCGGGTAAGTTTTTATCACAATATTACTTGTTAAAGTTATGTAATTTAAGGGTATGCATTAATGAGAAGTCTTTGGTAATGTAGGTAGCAAATGTGGAACAATTTTAACAAGCAATACGCAGTATAATGAATGGGGCTTCCGTTGCCAACAACATCAGGAATGTGATCATCACGAAGGACTTCCGATGCCTGGCAAGTTGTTCATCTCATCTCAACGCACATCAGATATGATTAATTCATACTAGTGACACATTTGTTAGAAATAATGAAGTAATTCGTAGATGTATAAAATTTCAATATCGAATTCTTAGGTGTACAATAATTGGCAATTTTGGCCCTTTGGGCCTTGAGGCCCATGAGTGTTAGTAGATAATGGCCCTTGTGTGTGTGTCGAATTGAAATGAATGTCTAATATTTTCAGTTAATACGAAATTTGTGGGAGTTTGGATTAAAGTTTAGTGGACTGCTGGGCCTGGGCCTTGAGGCCCTTGATTGTTAGTTGATAACGGCCCTTGTTTGTCAGTAGAATCTAATTCAATGTCTAATATATTCAGTTACTGGACTGTGGGAGTGTGGGTCAAAGTTTACTGGACTGTTGGGCCTACAAAGCCTGTATTGTTTTCAGCCTTTCCTTAACTGGTATAGCTTGTGCTAAAAACAAGTTTGGGCCGAAATAACGTTAAGATCACATACAGCACGGGTAATTGTTCACTTAAAAAACTTAAAAACCTGACATTAGGTAACATTGATATGTTTTCTGATACAAACATTCTTAGTTAGGCAAGGTTAATTAATACATCATAAACTCATAAAAAACAATACTTCATTATTTACTAATCACATCCCCTAGTTTAGATTATTGTCCTGAACTAGATCGAAACACCAGCAGTATTGATTAGAAAATGCGCTTAGCAACTTCATAGTCATATCCCTTGAGAAGGAGAGCACTGCATATTCCCCTTCGCTATCATTTGTTGAAATTCCATACACTGCATAAGGGTTTAAAGATGCACAAATTAGGCGCGCCATGTGAATAGAGACGCGTGTTTCAGTTAAAATTATTATGTGAGGCATATGCATCTGAGTTGCAAACCTAAGCATTTGGAGGAAAGAGTCCCTACCCATATCACGGCAATTCCAGATCATATACCTTAAACCCTTTGTGAAACTTCCCTTCCACCAACTTAGGTTTTCATTAGCAACAACTTCAACTTCTACCTCAATTTCCCTTCCGTCAAATTTGGAGGAAGACTTTGAACTAGTATGCATGATTAACTTGGATACGACATTTGGATACTCAACACTAACAAGCTTGAAATCATTTCGATAGCTTGGGATCGTCATGAGGTGTTTCCCAACAGACAAGACACAACTTTCGATTTTAGGAGGTATTTCTGAAGAAGGGTCACTAATGTTTTTAACAGCGGTCGGCAGCACGTGTTGGTAACCAAACCCGTCTTTTCCTCCTTGGGTTGAGATTACCCATCTTACAAAGTACTTGACGGGTTTTGGTAGCAAGGCGAGATCAGATAGGTCCGGTAAGTGAGCAGTCCTGACCTTATTTGATGGTGTGATGACGACGATGTCTCCAACCCTCTTCCTATTCCCGGATATTATTTGGGCGGTTGTAGCTGCGTCTATTAACAACACCCTAATATCACCGGCAGAAGACATGACAGGGCTTTGGATCATCCCAAGCACGCCCTTGGGGAATGATACTTTGACAGAAGCCTTCGGGGTACAAGGGTTTATCATTTTGAGAGAATGTGTTTTGACAATTTTCGAACAAGGTAGTAATGATATGTTGTTTGTGGATATACTTTTGTGAAAAGGTTTAATGGAACTAGCTGGAATTGATAATCTTTTCTTTGCCCATGTTATTTTTTTTGAAAATTATAATTTCAAAGAGCTAATGGTGATGCTTAGATGTAGGGGTATCTTGTATATATAAGGTGCAACGACTTCACTTTCAAGTGGCTGGATTTGTACAAGGGTAAAAGGTTGATATTTAATTTTGGCGGGGACGGGGTCTGAAATATTTGGTGGGTAAATTTTGGTGGGAAAATTTCAGTGGGTGAATTTGACAATTGCATCATTTGGCAAGAACATGTCAGCCCTAGTTCCTAACAACTGATTGAGGGTTGCTCTTTTTGAATTGCTTCCAAGAAAGTATACCCTGTAAGATTACTTCATTCTAGCATGCACCAACTGTAACATCTAATAAATTGTTTGCGTAAGAAAATTGTGATGGATTTCATTTTCGAAAAACTACACTAAAAACACTTGTATAATTATGTGGAGACATCCTTGCTAGTTGAAACGAATGTGATCCTTATTTAATTTTTTATTAGACTTGGGTTTTGATTAGATTTAAATAATTTAGTGTTGATTACACTTACGTTATTTAGTTTTGATTATACTTACTTATCCCTATGTATTTTAACTTTATATTAATTATAAATGTTATTTAAGGCTATTTCATATAAATATGTCGATGTATCACATTTGGGTGTTATTTTGATTTTGTATACGGAATTAAAAGAGAAGATTGACCTTATATTTGTAGATTATAAAGTAATAAGTCATAGTATGAATTCTATTTGCGCTTGTTAGTAAATAAGTCATAGTATGAATTCTATTTGCGCTTGTTAGTAACAGCTTTATTCTAAACTAGTTTTGTGCCCCGTTCGATGCGCGGGTTGTGTATCGAAATTTAAATAATTTTTTTTTATCTAAAATACATTTGCTATTTGAATTTTTGTACTCATGGATTAATAATCACTTGTCCGTTTATGGTTATCAATGATGTACAAACAAAAAAAGTAGTGATCTCTTTTCATTTTCTCCGAATATCTAAGTAAAGGTCGGTTGCATTAAGACTTAAGAGAATGATTATATGTAGAATTTTGGTATGAAAATAAAATTCTAAATCAAAAGTCTTATTGAAAATAAATCTCTAAAATAACCTTTTTTTTCCTAATAATCTATCCCAATTTTATTGAAAATAAAACTCTAAAATAACGAACTTTTTTATTCTACGGAATCTATCCAATTTTTTTTTTATCCTATTCTGTAAACAATATATTCTAATAAATCCTACGTGTAATTATAATATTTAATCGTCGCCTACGTGGCGTGATACTTAGCGAAAAATTGGGACGCCAAGTGTCGATGTCTCGTATCCTGGCTAAAACTTTAGCTTTATATATTTGTTATATGATTAAGCTATAATGTTTTTAAATGAAATAAACATTTAAAACAAACAAACAATTAAAGCTATCTAATTAAACATACAAATTTAGATAAAACACAACATAATCAATGGACTACAACAAGGCATAGTAGGGGGGGGGGGGCACAGTACCAAATACATAGAAGTGAAGTATGGGCAGTACATATTGAAATAATTTTGCAACCCAGCTGGAATGCTAGGGTTCCAATTCGAAAATCAGGCCCAACCTTCATCATGGTGGGACGGATCACGGTCCATTCCTGAATCTATCCACCATCGTCTCATGTAATTGTAATCAGCATCATCCTCCGCTACAATAGCTTCATTTAAAGGAGGAGGTGGGTTGATGAGTGGCCCCGGCTAGCGTGTTACAAACAGGAAAGAAATTAAAGCCGCGGTCAGCCCAAAAATAACACAATATTTTCTCATAATTAACTCACAATGACAGTACACAAAGTGAATAAATATAATTAAAAAATTCTAACATAATCATGGTTTGATGGATGAAATTAACATAACCAAAAATAATGGAATCTTACCACCACTTGCACATTCATCACGTTTCCAGTCAGACAGTTGCTAGTGTAGTTAATCAATGGTTCAGCTTCTTTGTTCCAAAGCAAGAGTATCCCTCCGACTTGACCGTGGCCGAACTTGCGTGCTGGTATCGACCTGGCAGCTTGGGAATCAATTCCCAAACTTGGAGATGTTTTGGGCGCGCTTCGGTGATAATGAATAACATTGGACGATAGGAGTCGTACAACTTTCGAAAATTTTCAACGAAGGAAGGCCTTAAAACGTCTACCGCGTTCCAGCACAATACGAACGCCCCCTCTTGAAAGACAGGTGAATCATCCTCGGGCACATTACCACAAACTGAGAGGCTGCGTCAAATGTGGGAACAAGGTTAAAAATTGGAAGTAGATCTTTCGGAACAACCTCATCCTCCTCAAATTGGTGGCGGGTATAAAACCATTTCACAAAGGTCGTCACACCACGGTGCTGCAAGTAGCCGTGAATGTCAGATAGCAGCGGCACGTAAGCTGGTTGAATATCTCCTCCGGGAAGCTCCATCACTCGCATAACATTGGTATTGGAATGCCTTTGAACATCGTCCATGACGATCTTGTTGCGGATGGTAAGGGGGTCATGACGATCTCGTTGCGGATGGTAAGGGGGTCGATTTTTTTTTGTTCATAGTACTCTTTTTGGGTTTTGTAGTATCTTACTTGATTTAAATCAAGTTCATTGTTTGTTGTTGGGAAATAAGGATTGAAGTACATGAATGGTTCTCCAGGTAGGAGAAGCACAGTATCACGTACACGGCGACTCTCACAAGTCGCCGCAGCTAAAAACACGAATGGTGGTCTGGTGATTTCCATGGCTTGTTTGAGTTGAGCGTATGTGTTTGAGGAGGAGGGAGAAAGGTTCGTCTTTGAGTAAGAGGGTGAAACAAGTGAGGTAAAGCATCTGCAGCCTTTGTAAGTCATGTGACAATAGCTGAAGGGTTTGTTTAAAAGCAAAAGTGGGATAAATACTTTTTGTCCTTTTGTGAAGGTGGACTAAATTGTAAGTACAAATGTGGTGGAGTAAAATCATTCAAATTGAAATGGAGATTGTAATATTATTTTAGAGAAAATATTACTGAAAATATACTTGAATTATAAATTTAGAATTAGTATGAAGTCGGCAAATAATTAATATCGTTTCACCTTTAATTACTAAAACAAGTAAGAATAAAGGTAAATTAACATAATCCTTTCCCTTTAATGGACTGAAAAATACTTAAAATTTGTACATCATATTACAATGTGGCTCTTATAATTGTAAAGTATAAGAAAAAGAGAAATCGAAACGGAATAAATGTTAAATAACAGGGTAGAAACATAATCAAGGTTAATTAACACAATCATTTCCCTTTAATTACGAATTTTTACTTCACTTCCTTTTTTTGACTTTAAAAATTTACTTGTCTGTAGGCCCCGCAATTATTACCGACGTTTTTTTACCGAAATTTATACGAATTTTACCATATTCCCAGAACCCTAAACCCCCAAACCCCAAACCCTAAACCCTAAACCCTAAACCAACAACCATAAGAAACCCCAACTTCTGGACAAACCGAGTCGAGCTTTGACCGAGTCTATTACGAGTTACTACTGACTTTTCCCTTCGCAAAGTACAACCCGTTATGGTGTAA